CGAAAGGCGTCTCTCGCTCGTTCTTTCTCTTTTTAATGAGCTGCTTGGACGAGCTTCAGCTTCGCTTCTTGTTTTCCGCTCTTGCCGCTCGGGCTCACTCGATCCATTTATGCATTATGTACGGGTATGTACTGGAATCCAGAGCCCTTCCATAATGTAACGTTATATTACTTTCATGGAAAGCAGATTTGAGAAAATGTATGGAAGTAATGCTCGATTTTACTATTGGCCCGCGGGAATAAAAAATTGCGCCCTTGGCACAAATTGGACCAATGAGAAGGCGTCTTTGAAGGAATGGATCTAATAAATTTGATCGATTTATTGTAGAATGTCTCTCAAGCTATATCACATGTTTTGCCCGTACACAAAACTTGACTCAAATTCTACCGTTGGAAAAGAAGGGCTTGCGTATAGTTGCAAATTCGAAGAAGAAACAGAAATTGTGGCGTGGATTAAATCTGATACACTAGATTTACGTGACGCCATTACTGAACCTTTTATTGCAAATGACAGTCTCACCGTTACTGTTCAAGATTTGCTTGATAAGACATTAATAAAATTACAGATACTTATTTTTTAACAAACATCGTGTAAATAATCAATTTACATTTGACCAAACTTAACGACATTTGAAATGGTAAGATGTATTTGGATTCAGCGCTTCAAAAACCTGCGAAAAGTATACATACTCTGATTTCTGGGTGCGAGAGTTGGCTCACTTTTATGGGCCTGTGTTATTCAATCCTTTTTGCGAGTAGCGACGGAATCCTATAAAGCATTTTCAGAGCTCATGCTTCAGCAACTCTTTACAATTCCTCATGCTTGAAATGCGGCATGCACTACAAGAAATGCCACTAAACACGTAATTCTTAGTCCAATCTAAGGCAGGAATGGCATTCGGGCTGCATATTTTTAAAACTAATTACTTTTTGCGGGAATGCACCTACTTTTGGATGCAGGATATCCTCCTTTATTATTTCGCCGAGAGCAGCACGTTTACATAGGTAAATTAAAAACAGAAAATGACATCGTAATCTATCTTACAATCTCATTATGAATTCATAAGTTAAGAAAGATAAAGGAATAAAAAAGCGGCGACTAGACAAGGAGAAAATGTGAAGTACATTAAAAATTAATTAATTCTCGGAGATGAGACTTGGATTTTTACATCTACAAGGGAGGAAGAGTCGGCACTGATTCTATATGAGTTTTTGTAAGCAGAATATCTGAAGGGGACATGGACGTAGGTATGATTCTATAGGGGTTTCTCACCGAAGCGAAGGTCTTATATCCTCAGGTTCATTATCCATCTTTGCTGCTATAAATGCCAAAATGTAATATGGGTTTCAAAGAGTTGGCAACTGCATGTTGATGATAAGGTGAGTTGCATTGGTTTGGGTTAAAGTGAGGTTTAAAGACAACTTCGAATTAGTCTTTGTACCGTATTAGCTACTTTTGACTCTGTGGTAAATTTAAACCTCACTTGAACTGGGTGTTAGAAACAGTGATAAGATATTTGCTGATGGAATGCTAGGTTTCCTTTAGTTGTTTTAATTTTTTTTTGTAACTATAATTTGTGTTGGTTTGTTTTCACTTACGATTTAGGTTATGCAAATATAACCCTCTAATTACATAAGCTGAAAAAGATGAAATGTTATAACATTCACCATTCAACATGATTTTACATTACTTTGAATCGTGTGGAAAGATTCAATAACAATGCCATTCTGTTTCGTGCATTTGTGGTTCAATGCCTTGAGAGTATTTTTTGCTCTGTTCAAATATTTACTCTCATAAAGAACTCTCGTACTTCAAAAATGTATCATTTGAAACTATTTAAAATAATGCATACGTCCTGGAGGCAGCGCCTTGAGGATAGAGGAAAAGGTCGATGTTTTCGTCGATTCCATGGAATGACAGTCCTTTCCCAACTATGATCTCGATAATGACCTCGACGAGGAGCAGCACATCGTAAGATTTGTCAGGAGATATTTTAGGGCCAATGGCGTCAGTGACAGTTTGCGCTACCGTTGATGATTTTTTCCCATCAGAAGATTCTTCTTCTGAAGCTTCTTCAACTGAAGATCTGCATAGCACATCAGGGGAGTATCCTAAGATCCCGAGTTGCACACCAGCAGATATTCCAGTGACCTGAAGTTGCGTAAAGCACCTGAGGATGATCAAATCACTAATAAGGCGCTGAAGCTGCTTTCACGGAAGGCCTTGACTTATTTCGTAGCAAAATTTAATGCCATACTAAGGACCCAATACTTCCCATCCGCTTGGAAGACCGCTGGAGTTACAATGATTCCAAAGAAGGTGGGTTCGACATTGCCTCAGGATTATCGTCCCATTAGCCTGCTGTCTCAGCTCCATCTATGCTCGCTGAAAAGGTGATTCTACGTCACATTGAGAATTTCTCTCAGATCACCATGTGATTCCTGACGTGTAATTCGGTTTTCTGTCTGATATTGTACGGAGCTACAGGCGGTTAGGGTGGTGGAACGAGTAACCAGATGATTCACACTCAATGAAAGCACTGACATATTTCTTTGGGATGTCTCAAAAGCATTTGACAAGGTGTGGCATGCGAGTCTTCTGTATAAACTAACCCAAAGGGGTTCCCCCTTTTTGGCTTCTAAAAGAACTGAAATCGTTCCATCAAGGTAGGAAATTTCGAATCAATGTTCTTTCGACAACACGGCTGATTACAGACTGTGACCTTCAGGGTTCGGTTATTGGACCAACTCTTTACTCACTGTACATCCATGACGTCCTTAGTCCCAACAACTGTGAAGTCTATATCTATGCTGACGATACTGCATTGGTGGCTCAGTCGTGGTCTTGTGACCTAGTCTTCGCAGGCTGCAAGGTGCAGTGGAGGAGGTATTACACTGGGTGAATATGTGACTGATTAGAATTAACCATTCGAAAACGCAGGCAATCTATTTTACAAAAAGAACTCGCAGCGCACCGTTTGAAGTTTTAATGAATGAAGTTTGTATACAATGGGAAAGCTCCGCTAAGTAACTCGGTGACATTCTGGACAAAGGGATGACTTGGCGGAATCATATTGAAGCGTTAAAAACTAAATTCCAAATTACGTTCAGACAGCTTTACTCATTATTATGTAAACGTTCAAAATTCATTTTGATTAACAAGATTCGGCTCTATAAGGTGGACCAGCAATGACTTACGCATCTGCGGCTCGGTATTTTATTGCCAAAAAACACATGCAAAATCTGCAGGTTCTGCAAAACATTACGTTGCGAAGTGTTACTGATGCTCCATGGTATGTTTCTAGCGAAACCCTTCACAGAGACCTCGATGTTCCTTACCGAAGCGACTACATTAAACAACCGGCGCAGCGGCGATAGCCAAGCGGAACCAAAAAAGCAACCCTCTGTTGTGCGAATTAGTGCACTACACAGTCGAGCAAGTTCGCGAGCATAAAAGGCTGCGTCCCGCACTGTAATGAAAATTAATTCGTGAATTTAGAACAACCAAAATTGGAGCATTTCGACAAAATCCTAAGAAAAATTAAATATTTTTAGACCATATTAAAATCTATCAAGTGATTTTAGTAATGCCTAAACGATTCTCTTCTTCCTCTTTGCCCTCGATCTTCCTTCTCTCCTTTTCTTCCCTTTTTTCCTCAAAATTGTCTGGTATCTGGGTTACCAGACCTGATAAACTTTCAAACTGACACTATGACTCAAGAGCTAAGGTCAAACGGACTGATTAACAACCAACGAAGTCTTGACATCGAAGACACTCTGAAAACGAATAAACATTTTTTTGATGGTCTAAACATGAATTTAATTTCGTTCACAGTGCGAGCTGCGGCCGTAGTTCCTGGACTGTGTAATCCACTGCTTCACGCAACAAAGGGTTGCTGTGTGATTCGGCTTGTCGGTAGCGCTGTTGCGCCATACCTATGATGTAATCTCTAAGCTAGGGGATGTCAAGATCCCTGTGGATAGTATACTTTGATATATATCTTGGGGTATTAGTTATTGTTCTGAGAGTTCTACTTTGCACTGTCCTGGTCTAAGGTACATATCACATGATGTCTACCGAGTGCTGGATTTTGAAGCCTTTGTCTAGCAATAAATAAATACGGTCAATACTCGCTGTCTGTGGGCTTAAGTCAATTTAACGATAGTGATGCTTCTCTAATGGTCTAGCGCACAAAGAAACCCATGTGTTGGAAAGTACGTCTAAACACCCGGACAATCTATTCATGAAGTACATTTCACCGGCCGATCGTAGATCTATAAAAATAATGCTGATCATAGGAAAGCATGAGAGAGAGGTGAAGTATAGTGATTGGGTAGGGTTGTCGTCTCCTAAAATATAAAAGCAGGAATCGGCTCTGGATTACGCCGAATACTTGACAATAAAATTTGGACATTATTTTCTTTAATAGCCAAAGATAGGGGGAGGGGGGTTGTGATGGCTGCATCAGACCAAATGCCTCTATGAAAATTAAAGACCGGAGGAGCGGGTGATAATTGAAGACAAGGGGTCGGCTAGTATTAGCTGGTCATCTCAATTTCCATAACCCCCTCCTCCTAGATTCGACCTTGGCCGAACATACATTTTCATAATTGATATAACTACAATAAAAAATGTTGTAATACTGAGTATTGCCATTCATTTGATAGAATGTGCCGATTATATAAAGCTATTTAATCAAAACCTAAAGCACGTTGGTATATTTTTCATATGTTACGGTCTAACCTACCAATTTGATTTCCTTCGACGTCAAAGCACATTCTTGTGATAGCTTCTGAGTTCTTCATGAATATATACTTAGGGTACGTTGTTCTAGTCGCTAATTTTGTGTATTTTCAGCAGCATACTGATTTAGTAGGCACACACCGTGGTAAGTGATACCGCACCATTTTGGTATGTTTCACTAGAACGCCGACAGATGGGGCATCAAGCAGATTGAAAGAACAAGGGACAAGTTCGATCCTGACAGTCGGATGGCAGTTGGTGGTGTAGATTAATTGGTTATGCCAGTTCCACGGAATGGAGGAGACGCGGATTCGAATCCCGCCGGTGCCCATTTTTCATTTCTTTTAAGTTGTTGTTCACTTAAAATACTTATTTAAATACCCTTGATTGGTGCTCTCCACCCTTAGTGATGGCGGTTGGTGCTTTAATGTTCCAAGTTCACTTCTGAGATAGCCATCACCAATGCTATTCTCAATTATAAGTATATTTGTAGCCCTAAAGGTACAAAATAAGGATATAGTACAACTTGAAATTATTTATAAGACTGCTCCTTCCGACGGAAGGAACGAATTTCTTTTGAAAGCGCACTCAGTAAACTTCAATACGTTTTCCTTAAGTTTTTTGTAATCTTTCAGATAGCGCTATTCGCTATTAGATATCGATTCCGTTTAATGAGAATTAAATAGAAATATTCTGAAGTATTCGGCAATACTTTCCGTCGGAGGGAAATTCCCGGTAATTAAAATGAAACAATTCCCAATTACGTACATACAAACTGTTACTCGAACAGTGCCTTATACCTGTTTAATTCTCTGGCTTGGTACGAGCAAGAATATCGGTTTATAACTTGTCCATTTTAGAGGAGTGGATCCAGACTTATAACTGGCATATTTCGATAATTGTAGAAACAAGCTAGAATCTGTCCTATATTTAAACGCCGGAACAGAACCAGTATTGAAAACTGTAGAGCATTCTTTGCAACTTTCTGAAAGATTTTATTTTAGTTATGAATTTCTTGACAAACCTTGGACTTTTTCAAATCATACCTAAGTGTTTTCAATTTGTTTCATATTAGGGATATAAGCAACCCCTTTTTTACTACGTTTTGTGTTCTGCAAGGTTCAAATTAGGTCCTTATTCATTTTGTATATTAATGATTTACTAGCGGGGGTCGATTGCAACATTTGCGGTTGATGAAAAAATTTTCAATTTCAAAATAACTTAGTTGTTGTTGAAAACTGGTGTAATGAGAATAACCTTCTTGTCAACATCCACAAACGGAAAGTCCTATAATATATTAGACAAAACACTGTTATTGATTACAACTACATGGTCAACATTAAAATTTGTAAAACATGTTCTGAAACTTTATGGGTTAATGTGCGGAACTGTAGAAGCTTATGAAATATCGATGTGATTAAACTTCAATTCACCTGTACCTCCGAAGCTAGAATATGGTTGTATTATGTGGGATCCTTTAGATGATTGTTGCATCATCGCGATAAAAAATGTTCAACGTAAACCTTTGGTATATATTTTAGAGTAAAAAATCCTGAACAGGGCATTGACTATGAAATTTTATGTAGCAGGTTTGATCAAGATACTTTGAAGCTGAGGCGAAATATAGTAACACTTTCGTTTTTGCACAAAATTTTACATAACGGCATAGATTGCTCCTCCACTATGCCAAATAAATCATATTGTACCTAGAGGTTCAGTAGTGTTACAAGTATTAAGGCATATTCATACTAAGCCGCGACGTGACGGTTCGTGATCCGCCCGACGAAATGAAAAGCATTCTTCCTGGAATTTGGATGAACTGATTCACACTAGACCGGCACATGGAAGTGGCCGTCTTCTCAGTGCACTCGACGACGCCGTACCGTGATCATCGCATTGTTTTGAAACGATATTTTTCGATTTTCACGACCGTGTTTTTATGTAATTTCTTGAATATTTTGATATATTTGGTCAAAAACATGGATGATGGAAAACTGATTGAATTTGTACGCGTACATCCCGTGCTGTAGAACCAGTCAAATTCAAAATACAAGGACTTCCGTTTTCTTCTTCTTCATCTTTCGCAGGTGGTAGACGGTCTCTAACTGTTGAACGCGGACATACCACCCGGCGGATCTCGTAGGCGGGGCCAGAATGTGTGTATGTTGCAAAACGAAGGAGAATTCTTCCTCCGGACTCCTTTACACACAACGAGCGGTGGTTTGTACCACTTTGGGTTAAATGTAAGGGTTACTGACCTCGAAGGTACGGGTAACCCTAGATTAAATTAGAGTAGCTTTGCTCCGTCACGGTTTAACTCTGAGTTCATAAGCCTAGAATTTTTGTCACATTGTCAGCTTTGAAATATAAGGACATTTCTTAGAATTAATACGTTTATTGGCAAGGTTGCGAGAAAATCTAGTTCTGTGATAAAAGTTTGTTATGATTTGAGACGTACTGGAACTTTTACATTTAGTACTTGTGTTTTGTGATCTCATACTTTTCTATTATCGGTTGAATGTTGTATTATATTATGAATTGTCTTTGGATTTTGAAAATATTATTCACTGTGTTTAACGATAAGTATCAAAATACGTCCGACAGCATTGCCTACAAAGGTCTACCAAGCGCCCTGGTAATTTGGTAGCCTATTCTTAAATTGTGGGCCTAACCACGAACGAAGAATTCGACGAGGATATAGTATGAAGTATGAACTTTCATCCTGACTGCATGAGATTTTGGAGACAAACAAATCATATACTTGCATCGTCTGAATTATCAGTTAATGTAATACCGTCCCAGAATATTATAGGCTCTCCATAAGTAGTGAAGAAGACAAAAATGCGTTAATGAAAGTATATTTTTTTCTAAATCGATGGAATACATCTGACGAGAATAACGATCAATCTCATGATAACTGATCATCCCGAATTAACTATTCACACGATTGAACCAGTTAAGTAACTAAATCAATGACCAACTTTTACTGAAATACTTGATTGACTATGTAAAAAAGTCTGGTGGGCGTATTTTTATAGTGCTTACCGTTTTTGCCTCATCTGAGAGAAATTTGATGGATAATCCGGAAAATTAATTGAAAGCAGACCTATATTTGAATCTACGTTTATTATCAGCCAGGGAAATATAGAAGAATATTATCTTAGGTGAAAATCTGCTCCAACCAACATCTTATGAATGTACTTGAATGATCTTGCATTCTAGGTCGAACTCAGCACAATTAGTTTTACTGAGAAATTTTCAAACAAAGAGCATCTTCACTGTGAAAGATAGGCTTCATTCATACTTGCGATGCTCCTTAATTAGTTGTTTCGCTAATCCTTGAAAATTTAAATCTAGTACGATGCTTTCATTGGAAAAAATCAAGCTGCAGTCAAGACATCTTGTTAAAGGTGAGGGTGCCAGTCTTTGATATAAAAAATTCAGAGGGTGAATAGGCTCTAAAGGAGTTAAGCAGTATAAGAGATCTACTCTTTCCTTTGGAGCTTCTACTGGGTCTTCATGAACCTTATAAGCAATTATGCGTCCTTACTCTACACCCTATCTTGACAAGGGGCAGTTACGTATAGTTTCATAATTGTAGCACAGAGGAAGCTGCGCTCAGGCGGACCCCTATTTCGATACTTATTAAAAAAAATGGCATCGAGTAGGTTGATCCTGTACTTTCCACGCAACTCCGTCACCAGTTCATAAAGGATTAAGTTCATGACCAGTTTGACTCTCTGAGCAAACGATTAGTTATGAACAATAGAGAAATTAAACGGTTCGTCAGTAAAACAGGCCCATAAAATTAGTCCACAGACATTCTTTTTCTTCTCTACCGGTGGTTACCGTCCATCCGACAACATCCTCTCTTCCCATATCGCCAGACGCGGCAGTTCCACCGAAGCACTGTGGCAGTACCAGCAGAATAATCAAGCAGACCGTTACGCTAGGCACTGAGTCCAGATAGCAGAAGGAGACGCGCATAGGAAACATCTCTGTATCATTATGTTTTAAAGAATAATGTATGGGGAAACCTGTAATATATGCTAATATAAAAAAATTAGGATATACCTTCCTCACCTCCTACAACCCCCAACTTCCTAATTTTTAACACCTAAAATTTTTTCAAAAATGATAAAGATCCTCCCAAAAAACGCACTTGGAGCGATTTCTATTCTTTTAGTTTTTGACCTTATCCTCCACCCAACCGGTCCGATTTTAAAAAACTACAAGGCTTTTTCGTCTTTGGCTTGGTACTTAGTAGTAACCCTGTAAAAATTTCATCCAAATCCGAGCAGTATACTTTCCAAGTTATAGAGTGGCCAAGGATTACCGACGGAATCGAGTGACAAGGTTTTTCGTGATGTACAACATGTCATATAACATCCAAAAAACGTAATATATCATTTTATAAATTTTTAGTATTTAGTATTTACGATATTTTCTAGCCCACTGGCGTGGAGAAGTAAAAATATGTAAAAATAGAAATCACTACATTCTAAGAGCATACAACGCTTACAGCACATTAAATGTTCAAAAATTGTAGTTGTCAATTATTATTGAAAAAACGAATTTCCTTACCCCTCATACTTTGGTCAGTGGGGCAATGACGATAATTGGGAATTGACGGAAATACACATTAGGGGTGGGCAATGTTGTTAATATTCTCATCTCAACCTATTTATTCGCTTGACCACTTAAGAATAACTGGGCAATGTTGATATTAGGATCAACGGCTGAGAAACATTAACGATATTCGTAGTAAAGGGTAAAAAACAAAAAAAAATAATAGCAACCAGAATAAAACAAACATTTCCCCATGTTTGTCCCAACGGTGACCTTCTTCAAGTACTATTGACAAAAACTGTAAATTTTTTCTGTAATGCGTTGAATTTTTTGTGTATCGTTTCTTATTAGAATGAATTTAGAGGGTTCCTTTGCAAATAAAACTCCGCGTACTGGAGCACAGAGATATGTCAAGTTTTGTTGTGTGCAATGAAACATTTTGCTGTCACCCTCTGCACGTCGCACAATGGTCTATGTATGCGAAAACCTGGCTAAATTGAAACAAAACAAAGTATCAAAAATGGAAAACTTACAATGAAAAGTACTTATTAGGTCGCGATTCTGTTGAAACTTTTTTTTATACTTGAGCCACCACGAAGGGGTACGTGGGGCTATAGGGGGCTACGGACAATGATGTCAAAGCAACAAAAAGTTAAATAATAATAACATAACGTACAAAAAATAACAACCCAGCAAACGTATTAAGGAGAAATGAATAACAAGTAATCAAAAAATGCGGACGCACAGGTTGAAAACAGATT